TGCGCGGGGCCGCGCGTGCGCCCTGCTGCCCCTGCGGGTTTGTTACAGCCTCCRGGGCCTGGGCCACGTTTGGGGGCGTTTTTTCCCCTCTTTTAAAGAGTGCCCATGGTCAACCTGCACTTAGTGCCTATCCGACGTGTCTTCCCTTCCTTTCTCCTGCCCTCCTCCCAGGCAACAGTTTCCTTTGGGGCAGCTTTCCATCCTTGCCATAGCAGGGACCTCCGGGCCGCCTTCCTGCCTTTGCTGGAGGCCTTTCATTGCGGGCAGGCGGGGACGGCTCTTCCTGCTCCCACCTCTGCAGCGCGGGATGCTGTGGCCACGCGAGCCCGAGCACCTCGGGGCAGCCCTGCCGCCCTGCTTGGTGCTGGGCCGGACAACCCGGGCCCTGCTCTGCATGGGTGCCCGGAGCAGGAGGGTTTTCATTGGGCGTTGGTGTCGGCAGCCTGGGCGGATTCGGGATTACAGGGATGCAGGCTGCCTGTATTGGCCCCTCCATCCTGAAGCACAGCCCTTGTGTGGTGGCGTCTGAGCTCCRGTGCCTCCTGCACCATTGCCCTTTSCCAGGCGGTGCCCGGTCTGRCYGTGTGGASTCTGTGATTCWCTGGTTTCTGCTTTGACCRAGGTTTGGGGGAGCCGTGTGTTTTGCACAGCTTGCCCCATTGTTGTGGAGCACCTGCTGGCTGCAGATTTTCCAGAGCTGTGTGTTGTTTCCATGTCTGCTTTCCCCATTGAAAAGCACCTGCAGCTTCGTTCCCCACAGAGAACATTATAGAGAGCACAGTCTAAAATTGTGCTCTTGGCAGTTTGGTTGCGGAAGAAAAATAGCAGGTTGTCCCCACAGCAGTCAGTAGGTTGGTTGTAAATGTTGGTGACATCCGCTGGAGACAGCAGAAGGTGGCAGCTTGATCACCCGGAGGTCTTTGCCAGCAGCACAGCTGCTGCCCTGGCCACGTCCCGTAAGGGACTGTCTGGAGCTGGGACCAGGCTGCAGTGGAGCCTCTCTCAGGTCTCCTTGTGGGATCTGTTTGGGACTGGGAGACGTTTCCATGGGGTCAAATCAGGGGGTTGGTTCCTTCCTGGAAAGCTCTCGCCTCTTGTGCACTGTGTTCCCTGATTGCTCCTCGCAGCCTGTTCCCTGCGTCCTGGTGGCTCGTGCAGAGCTTCACCAACCCCCGGCGAGCTGATTACCACCTTTTGCCAAAATCTGAGGCAGGAGCAMAGGGGAGATGTCAGGGGGGAAAGAGCAGAGGGGAGGTGCAGACCGGGATTCCCGGTTGGCTGCTCGGTGCTTTCCCTGGGCCTCCTCTCCTAGAGGAAACTCTTGCGCTGCTGCTTCCACGGGGGGAGCCCTCCTCTGGTTCCTCCGAAGCCGACCGAGCCCTTTGGTGCACATCTGCTTTTGCCCTGGCTGCGGTGGTGCCGTCTCTCCTGTTAGAGCAGGGTCATAACTTAGGGCTGGACAGCCTGTGTGTGGGGAATAGGAATGTGAAGCAAATAATCAGCTCCAGTGCTCTGGACTTGGAGAGGTACCTCCCTCTGCTCTCACCATCACCCGGCTGCCAGACTCGTCATTTTTGGAGTTTGAGGATCTCTCTCCAGCACTGGAAATGCAGGGATCGAGCAGAGAGCGCAGGGAGGGCTGGCCGAGGGAGCACTGCAGCCCCGGGGACAGGGAGCCCCTCACGGTCCCGCTCCTGCCTTCCCTGCGGCCGTGGAGACAGCTCTGCTGCCTGGCTCTTACTGCGGGGGAAACCGGCTCCTTCAAACCCCCTTTCCATCCTGAAAGGGCAAAGGGAAAAGTTAAAACATCCCATAATGAAGTGAGAAATTTCAGAGTTTAAACCATCTAAATGGGAAATTGTAGGGAATTGAAACTAGGCTATGGTTCTGCTTCTCCTTGTCAGGAAATTAGCAGCATGCTCCCGACTGGCATTGCTGGCAGATCCCTGTTTTCCACTGGAGAATTCTCCTGGTGACGGCGGGTTCTCCTCCCTCCTTTCGCCTGCGGTCCCGCAGCCCTCCTGGGAGTCGCCTGTGCAGGGCTCAAGGGCCAAGGGATTCAGGGGAAAGACCAGGGGGTTGGATTTGATGTCTCATCTCTGCACAAGCCATAGGGTTCCCCGTGCTAATGCCTGGTAGAATTGAATGCAGCTTTATAGAAGTTTTGATTTAAACGTTTCCAGCAGGGAGCATCCACCATGACTCTAGGTTGTTCCACTGGCTGATTTTGCATCTTTTGTGTCCAAATTACTCCAACTTCCCCTTCCAAATATCAGACCATATCAAATCCAAGTGTGTGGATTTGATCCCACCAACAAACCTGTTTCCCATATGTGCATATAGAGACTTTGGTTGGTGTCCCTTGAGCTCAGACAGGAGCCAGAGACATCCCTGGCTTATTCTTTGCAACCAGATCATTGTCTCCCCTGGCTTCTTCCCAGTAAGGCACCAAGGGTGGGCAGAGTCTGGGCAGAGCCTGAGCTCGAGCCTGAGCCTGAGCCAAGCGTTTGGGCTGGGTGGGCAGCCCTGCAACCTGTCCAGCCCAGGGCTGGTCCCCTGTTCCCCCCAGCCTGGCACCCTGTCCTACCTGCGTGCCTTCATGCAGAGGCTGCTGCTCGATGGAACAAGACTTTTTGTGTGAATAGAAGGGATTTCTGGARGTAGATTCAACCCCAGCTGGAGCTCCTGGATAAGAGCACGGGGGAATTTGGCAAGTGGGAACAGCTAGTTGTGGGTATGGAGTGGTGTGGTGAACCCACTGCCCCCGGGTGAAGTACGGAGCCAAAGAYGTTGCTGTGCTGCCTGCTTAGGTAGGATAAATCTTTCCCATTGGAACCACCTTCCTAAGAATTTTTTTGCATTCCTGGACTTGCACCATTTTGTTCTTTTTGGCAGATGGAAATTGGCTAGTCAGGATCACGCCTGCCAGAGCTGCAACGTCTGAGCTTTCCTGGGGCTGCAAATGCTGAAGGCAGTGCTTATTTAGCTGATGAAATGTTGCCATTGGATTCCTTTTTTTTTTTTTTTTTTTTTTTCACAACTGTGCCATGATTTTTTTTTTTTTTTTGACTATTTCTCAGAAATATTTCAGCTGATCCGAGGGTTTTGTTTCCAGGCTTCTTTTCACACAGCCTTGAGCAGGGGCCCATCTCTGAGCTGGAGCTTCCCTGTAATCGAGTAGCAGCAGTGACGCTGCGCGCTCCGCGGCCGACATCCCCTTCACCATAAGGTATTTTCCAAGCCGTGTTTTCCCGGCTGCTGTGCCGTGGAGCCGCTGCACAACGGGGATAACAACTTGGAGTGGCAGGGCAGGCTAACCCAAGGCTCCAAAAGCAGCCCCCGGTTATGGGCCGGGAGCTGGGCCTGTTCAGCCAGGAGAAGAGAAGGCCGAGGGGGCACCTGAGCAGTGCATACAAATACCTCAAGGGAGGCAGTGAGGAGGATGGGGCCGGCCTCCTTTCGGTGGTGACCACTGATAGAACTAGAGGAAACGGCCRCAAACTGAAGCACCAAAAGTTCCACGGGAACTTGAGGAAAAATTTCTTAACGGCGAGGGTGACAGAGCCCTGGAACAGGCTGCCCAGAAAGGTTGTGGAATCTCCTTCTCTGGAGGTCTTCAAAACCTGCTTGGATGCAGTCCTGGAGGGTTGTACTCGATGATCTCTAAAGATCCTTCCAACCTTAAGGATTCTGTGATAACAGTGTCCCAGATGAAAGACCACGCTGTGTCCTGCCATCCATCACCCAGAGCTSGGGGTCAACGAAGATAAGAAAGGCAGTTGTTGGAAAACTAATCTTTGTGATATACAGGCCCGGGAATTTGGAAAACGTGTGTTGTCTCCGTATCGAATGGATGCTGAAAACCCGTGGCTTCACGTTTGCTCTTGAGAGCAACTTACCTCTGTCCTGACACTTTGGCTCGTTGGTTTCAGTGCAGAGATAATGCTGAGGAGCCAGGTCTGCTCTGACGCTGTGAAGCACCTGGGAATCCTTGGGAGGGTGYGAGGCTCCCAGAGCCACGGCCATTACCTGGGAATGTCCYGGGGCCGGGATGCGGCCCCTCGGCRCAGCAGCGACAGCGGGAGCCAGTGAGCGCCCCAAGGAGAACAGGGCTCGTCTGGAAGCCACAAGGGCTGTCACCAGATCRCAGAGTCAATGGTTAAAAACAGTCTTCCTGATCCGATGGACTCTTTTCTTCCTTATTCCGTTCAGCCCACTGTTGCTCAATGTTTTTACCAGCGATCAGGGGAGAAACACAAAATGCCAATAGCATTTGCAGGCTGCACACCAAGGGATGGGTCTGTCCTGTGGGTAGACCTGACCTACTTTACCAGGCTCACTGAAACAGTGCAAATTTCAGCCAAACAAATGGCTYATCCCCTGCCTGCCTCCGAGCGGGTGTCCTGGGAGGCAGCGGCCCTGGAAGGGGCCACAAGGACCTGTTGCTTGTTGGCCGAGGAGCAGCTCTCATCACTGGACCTGGGAGCGAGGGATGTGGTTTCATCGCTCTGCACAGCCATGTGAGCAGTCACAGGGTCCTGCGTCCAGTTTTCTCATCAGAGCTGTGTTGGCAAAAACAAAAGAGGCTTTAGAAGAGAGCAGAGAGAATGATTTGAGGTCTGGGCAATATCCTGTGCAAGGAGACAGAGAAAGAGCAGCCTGTGGAGCACCAGGCCACAGCAGGAGATACCTCTAGCAAGTCAGGTAATTGGCTATGGAGTAATGGCCTGGGGAATGAGAAGCTTCCTGTCGGCTGCGGGTTTTAGGGGAGAGCGGACAGCTCCTTCCCACGGGACACAGCAGGCTGTGGTTGAGGGTCTGGGCTGTGCAATGAGGCCGCACGGTCCAGCCGCGTCCCTCTGTCACAGCAGCTCTTGTACATCACTTTTGCACCTGGCCTGTCTTCCTGCTTGGGCCAAATGTACGAGTGCCAGCGGGAGGTTCTGCTATGCTGCCTGCGATGGCTGACACCGCTGCTGTTGCTGTGCTTCCTCCTCCAGGCACACGTTCTGGCAGTACCGCCGCGAGAATCCCAACACCAAGGTGGGGGAGCCCCCTCCCGATGGGCTGCCTGGCTTCAACAGCGGCGTCCTGCTCCTCGACCTGGAAGCCATGAGGCAGTCCAAGCTCTACAACCAGCTCTTGGAGCCCGCCACGGTGCAGAAGCTCACAGAGAAGTACCACTTCAAGGGCCACCTTGGCGACCAGGATTTCTTCACCATGATTGGGATGGAGCACCCAGAACTCTTCCATGTGCTCGACTGTACGTGGAACCGGCAGCTCTGCACGTGGTGGAAGGACCACGGCTACAGCGATGTGTTTGACCAGTATTTCCAGTGTGAGGGGGAGGTCAAAATTTACCACGGGAACTGTAACACCCCGATCCCTGAAGACTAGGGCGCCCGTCTGCTCCCGGAGCAGCCCTGCCTGCCTGGAGACTGCCGGATTCCTCCAGAGCCATGTGAGAGACCTCTGGAAGGGTGGCTGTCCTGATCAGTGCATCCCTGGGGAACCAGTGTCCCAAAGGGATTCCTGATCCTTCAAGGCCTTAGGATTGTTTGCTATCCCACTACCTACAGCCTCATTGCTCCACGGGAAAGGGCAGTCCAGCGGCTAGAGCCACTTGCAGTTGGGCAGCCTGGGCCGTTCCTARTTGTCACCTCCTCACCTGGTAACTTGGGGCAGGTCCATGGTGCCCATCTCYGCTACAGTCTCCCACCAGCATCGGCTGTTTCCTTATGCCTGGGGGCTGCACACASAGAGCTGAGGGCTTTGGGGTGGTCGCTGCATTCCGAGGGTGCTGCCTCTGGGGTGCCCTGTTACCTGGTGCTTAGCAGGAGGTCACAGGTAGGTGCTGGGGGTTCCATTCTAGCATTCCTTGTGGCCCGTTTCTGCACCTCATGCAGAGCATCTGTCTGCGCTGTCTCCAGAGCAGACGCTGTCCTCAGGTCATCTTCCTTTTGAAGCATTCCAGATAGGCAAAAGGGTTTTAAAGACTGACAAAGCTGCTTTAAATTGGGTTACCTACAAACAAAAATTGAATGCCAGATGAACTTTAAAGCCTTCCATTGGTTCTTGTTAGCAATAAAAGCTTTACTGCCGTATCTTGTCTTAAAAGCATTCAGTGAGCGTGTACAAATAGGTTCATTTTATAGCTTTGCCTTTAACCTTTTGTACTACAATAAAGCTGCAGATGTAAAGCATACTGCTGGTTTTCTGCAGCACGACTGAAGTCATGTCTCACAGGAGTTTTTGTGTTCTTTTTATCGTGATTAAAAAGTAGTCGATATACATCTGTGGGGCAGATGAAAATGGTGCCCTGTGTCGTCTACCACTGTGATTAATTGTGTCTGTCCTGCGTGGGGGATGCAGTAAAATCACTCAGGGTGCTCTGCTTGTGCGTGTGTGCATGTGAGTTACCAGCAGTGGTGCTGGTGCCTCCACGGTGCCATCGCGCACGTGGCCGTGTGCGTGTCCTGCGTGCCGGGCGGGAACGTGGCCGTCCCCTGCTCTGTGCTTTGGAGGATCGCACTACCCTGCAGGTGACTTGCACCACTTGGGTGGATCTGGCAAGACCACGGGGCGCTGAGCTGCAGGCTGCAGCCACCTGGTTTTGCTGAGTGTATGTGATTTCCTGAATTGATCCATTTCCGATTGGCACACCGGCTCATCTTCCAATTTCTTCATGTCCCCAGGGAAGGAACTGCTAAGAAGTGATTAAGGACACGTGAAAGCAGCAGTGACCTGCTTTGTAAAGCCAACAGTTGAACAGCAGAGAGAGGCGGCTGTGCATCCCTGAGCAGTGCCAGGCAAGGAGCCAGGGTCCCGGGAGGAGTGAGAGGCAGCAGGAGCGCCCTGTCCTGCTGCTCAGCCCCGGCTGCGCGAGTGCCCACGCTGCTCCCTCCTTGGGGCCGCAATGCCGGCGACGCTGCCGGTGAATCCGCCGGCTCCTCAGGAGCCTCGAGCAGGCACCGCTGCAGAGCACACAGGTGTGATGAGCCGCCCAGCCCCTGGCGCCAGGACTAGGAGGGGATGTGGTTTTGGAGCTGTGCTGGAGCCCCATGCCGCCTCCCCTCAGCACCCTGGGCACAGGGCTGGGCCAGGCGCAAACGCCCATGTGCCTGGAGTTCAAGGCTGACGTGGGTGCCCAGAGCACCAGGCCTGGGTCACGTCAGGTGCAGCTCCCAGGGCATCGGGCTGGCTGGGCACCCTGCCCGGTGCCAGGCGGCCCTTGAGGCCATGACTAAGCACCACAGAGCCGCGTGGCCCCGCATGCAGCCCGCCGCGCACCGCCGGGACGTGCCGGGTGCTGATGAGCTCCCCTTTGTGCCCTCCGCCCGCAGCACTATCGAGCTCGTGCGCGGCAGCCTGGCCGGGCAGCGCGGGGCTCCCGGCGCAGTGCCAGCCCTGGGATGTTGTCTGGGCTGTGTTGCTGTCGGCTGCAATGTGCGGGCTGCATCAGCGCTTGCCAGACTGCAAGGCTCTGCCTTCGCTCCTGGCTGATTGCAGATGTGCTCTGAGCCACAGCCGAGTAGCTCATAAAATCCTATTACCTTCCTTTTTATGGGATGAGAGGGCATCGCTGCCCAGCACGGTCTGACGGAGGAGCGGTGCCCGCTGCACTCGCATGGGGCGCTTGGGCTGCCCACGGTGGGTCGGCAGTACCCGCCACCCACTCCCAGCACAGAGGCTGCTCGTCCTTCCCTGCTTTGTTCATGGGCTCGGGCAGTGTCCTCCCCACCCATGACCCCCAAAGGGCGAGGAAGGGGCTGGGACGGGGCAGTCACCGGGATTCCCGGCAATCTATAGCGCGTCCGCAGCCCCTTCCTCGCACCKTTAGGTGCTGAGGCACTAATGTCTGAGATCCTCCCTGTTGGTGCCACGTCTCAGCTTCCCTCTCGAGTGTCAGGCAGGCTGCTAATAGTCGTGCTAGGGRGTCCTGGTTTGCCAGGGTGGTGCTGGTGGTGCTGGTGAGCACCAAGCAGCTGCAGCGAGCAAAAGAAACCCAACTACTCTACAGTCCTGTGGCAAAGCCCCTCGCAAGTCCTCATCTGGAAAACGGGACAAGAGGGATCTGGCAGAACTTGCCACTGATACTAAGGTATTTATCTATGAGAGTGAGATCAGAAGCAAGTGTAAGAAACTGCAGAAAATGTTAACAGTACAGAGCAGTTTGCTGGTGAGCAGTGGGTGCCCCGTGGGTGCAGCGAGGGTTGTGACACCAGGAGCATCACTGCAGCTCCAGGAATGTCACTGCAGCACTGCACACTCCTCATTCATCGGCTGCAGAGCAGATCAAACCTCAGCAGCGGTCGGGAAAGGAGCAGTTAGYAGTGCAGGACAGGGATGCATTCCTGGTCAGCGAGGATGCATCTGGGCTGGTGCTTACGGGAATGAGATGCATGGAGAGCCCCGGCTCCATCCCTCCACACTGCACGGGTCCAGCCATGGAGCAAGTGGGTTCGTGCGGGCACTGTTGCCATTGGGAAGGCCAGCCCCAAAACAAACACCTGGAGAGGAAGGGAAAAGACCGTGGCTGGTGCTTGAGTGGCATTTTGAGGCAGGTGGAAAGCAGAGCAGGATGATGACCTGAGCTTTGCAGCTGCTTTGCTGAAAACCAGAGCTGCAGGCTACCGATTAAATGCTGTGTCGAAGGAGTAACTTTGTCTAGGAGAAAACGCCACAAGGTGGAACATAAACCCAAGGCCAGCCCTGCTGACACAGAAGCATTTCATATTTTCAAAGCAGCAGASGTAGCAGAAATAGAAAAGAAGTCAGCACTATAACATCAAGCATCATGAAATACACCCTCCTGAGTCACTTACTTCGAAACCTCAAAAATCTTCCCGCGGATGCCACTGAATTTCTTTGGCCACTCATTGCTGTGGTGAAGTGTTTCCACGAGGAACAAGGAGAGCTTAAAGCACACGGTGCCTGATCTCCTTCTTCCCTCCAGCGCGCGATGGAAGGGGCTGCGTTATCAAATAACAAGGGAAGCATCTCAGAAATGCCGGGTGGAGTAGGGAGGGCCAGGGCAGTCAGGAGAGGCGAGGACGGGATCGTGGAGGAGCGGCCATGGCAGCTGCGTCGGGATGGGGACACTGGAGCGGCGCCGGCTCCGGCGCCCGGGAATGGCCCCTCCGCAGGCCCAGCCTAACTGGTAACTGCTCCAGCCGCTGGGAGCCGGGAATGGCCCCTCCGCAGAGGGGCAGAGCTGTGATTTGGGGCTCCGGGGGACCCCGTGTTTGAGGTCACGGAGAGCCCGGCCCCGCGGCCCCAGAGTCGCGTCAGGACAGGGTGAAGCACGTGGGGCTTTGAGCTGCCGCCGGGCTCCCAAGTCAGCAGAGCAGGAATGTTGTGGGTGGACAGGAATTATGTATAATGGTCTCGGCTACATTTATCCTTCTCAAAATAACTTCGCTCTTTGTGGATCAGTTGCTTGAAAACCATAATTGCCGCTCTCGGAGCCCTGTATAGCTGCTAGTGAAACACGACCTTCTGGTGATGCAGGCGCGTGCACGAGACGAAGCAGAGGTAAATCTGTGCTGGGACGGGCAGCAGCACAAATGAGGCACCTTGGCAGCTCCCTCTGGGGAAGGATCTGCCGAGCGGTGCCCGCTTTGCAGGGTGCCCGCTTTGCAGACACGCTCTGCAGCTGCAAACCAGAGCCCGGCGAGGAGAGCAGCGCAGCGCTGCAGCACCCGGCTGCGGGGCTGCTCCCGGCTCCCTGCTGAAGCCAGGCATCGGAGAGCTCGGGATTTGTTAAGAGGGATCCCCATGATGTACATGATACAGCGCTCTCCCTGCTGCAGTCGCTGTTAGTGCGGAGCAGTGCCCAGTGTGGGGTGTCAGTATGGATAGGGCAGCAAGCGCAGACAAGATAGCACTTACGTCGAAAGGATAAATTAGGCAGAAAATGATGACTTAGGGAATTCTGGTCTGGGTAGTGCTGGAGTGATTAATTACCGAGGTAGCTCGACTAATGCTTAAACAAGGATAGGAGCAGCTGCTGCTGGCAGTTGGTAATGGCACCTGGAGATGGTGATACCCTCTGGCAGGAGCCTCTGCAAACGGAAGTGGGGAAAAGCACGTCCCGCTGAGTTTGCCCGGCGCAGTGTCCCCAGCCACCCTGTCCTGGGTGCGTGGGGTCGCTTGGCCGAGTGTCACCAAATGTGACACCCTGTGTGCGCCCGCTGCATTCGGCAGGCAGCAAATCTGCACGTGCCAGGCCCGGCCAGGCTGCCCGGCGCCCGCTCGGAGCCAGGGAGTGTCTAACCAGGGCTGCAGACAGCCCAGGGTGAAGATAACTGCCTTGGCAGGGCCGTCAAAGCTGAGAAAATGAACTCTCTGCAGTTCTGAAATCGTTTTGATGAGGAGGAAAGGCAATTGCAAAGTTTTATTGCACAGCCCTCAGGATCAGGTGATAACTTATTTAGCAGGCGCTTTGTTGCATTATGCAGCACACGGGCTCAGCAATTAGCTGGAAGCAAATATCCCTGTCCATTCCCGTGGGCGTGCGGCTGGGGCAGCGTCTCACACGTTTAACGTTACCATTATGAGCTGCGAGCGCTGTCGAGGCTCAAGCCGTTTGCTTGCTGCAGACTCCCTCTGTTTTCAGGTATTCCTAATTTAGCCTCGTTGCTGCCTTGGGAAGAATTAGACAATGGTTTATCCTTCTAACCCACTGGAATGAGCAACCGTTGGACATGATCCGATGTTCCTGTGGCTTGGAGCACCAACTGCAGTCAATGAGAAAAGGCYGCTTCTAAGCAAATCTTTATTTTTTTCCCCTGAAAGATGAGCTAGCGTGTCCAACACACAAGATCTTTGTCCCCTGCTCATCTCAAATGCCCCCGCAGGYCAGCGCAGCCCTGCAGGGCTCTCTGCCGCTCCTTGCTGGGCCGGCTGCCGTGCCCGGCGGTGCCGCGAGGCCTCTGCTGGCACCTTCCCCACGGCAAACRCAGCCTGCCTTTGCCTCAGCCCTTCGAAAAACCCTCGTGATGAAAGGTTTTGCTCTTCCCATAGCTGTTATTGAATATGAACTTGGTTGGATGGGCTGTTTCCTCTCCCAGCCTGCAAGCGTGAGGATGGGACCCCGGGGCAATCTCCCTCGTTAAAGGCAAACCCCGTCACGGTGTCTGCAGGAGAGCCCAGCT